GCCACACACTCCTCCTTCCCCCTGTGGGACTCCATCCAGCTCTGGTCTAGAGAGAGAGTAACTGCAGCCCATGGAGGCAGTGACCCCTGGGAAACAGAGGGGCTGCCAGGCTGGAGCTCCCTGACTCCAAAGGAGTGAGCATTAGAGGAGAGAGGGAGCTTTCAGGGGGGGCTGACCCCCAGCCCAGCAGGGCCCCACCAAGGCTCTTTACATCTAACCTGGGAATAGTCCCAACCCCCTTCCAAGTCTCCAGATCCTCTGCTGCCTCAAGTCCTGCTCCAAATCTGCTTGATGTGTAATTCTCCTTCCACTGTCTTACATGGTTTGCCCTGTCTCTACTGTCTCACACACACATACACTCCCCTCTCCTTGGGAACCAGACCCTCACTCTGCACTGGGGTTACTCTGACCCTCTGTCTCTGGTCCCCTCAGAGCCGCCCTCTCTTCAGTGTCTCTACTCAGCAGGGTCTGAGCAGCCCCAGGAGTCCCTGCACCTCCTGCCTCTGCCCTTGTGGGAAACCAGCCCCTCAGCCTGCATGACAGTGAGGAGGCGAAGGCAAAGTCCTGAAATCAGTGATGGATGGAGGAGACAATTTTTCTCTTGAGTTTCATTTTTTTATTATTGTATTTTTTGAGGTAAGATTCATTTACACACTCTGTATGATTCAGAGGGACAGGTTCATACCCCTTCAGGTGTTACCTCACCACTCCTAACTTTAAGGTACCTAAGTTTTCATGCCTAGACCTCTGGACCTTCTTACTCCATTTACTGGCCACTCTCACCCCTGTCTGGTAGCCTCAGTTCTGCAGCCAGACTCCAAGGGCTTGGTTTGGTTTATCTCCTCCTGTGCATTGCTTCTTTATATTATACATATCAGTGAAATTATCTGGTATTTGTTGTTCTCCTTCTGATTTCACTTAGTATGATTTTGTTCCCCAGTTCCATCCACATTGTTGTAAATTCAAGATTTCATCTTTTTTTCCCAGCTGAGTAGTAATCCATCAAGTATATTATACCACATGTTCTTTCCAGTTTCTTCTCCTCCCTGCTCAGCTCCTCCCTCCCTTGGGTGGGGAAGGAACATGGACCCTCCCCTTCTCCTGGGAGCACCCTGTTGCACACTCCTCTATTGTTAAGCACATTGGTTGTTTCCAATCTGGCTATTGTAGACATTGTTGTATGAACAGAAGAGCACATATATCCCCTCAAATTAGTGTTTACATTATTTGGATAAATACCAAGGAGTGGAAAGCTGTGTCTTTTGGCAGCTCTATTTTTAATATTTTGAGGAAACGTCGTACTGTTCTCCATAGGACTGTACCAATTCCCACCAGTGTATGAGGGTTCCTATTCCCCACACCTTTGCCAACACTTGTTATTTCTGGTAATTTAATGTGAGCCAGCTCACAGGTGCAAGGTGGTATCTCTTTGTGCTTCTGATCTGCATCCCCTGATGATGTGTGATAGGAGCATTTTCCATGTACCTGTGGCCATCTGTGTCTTCTTCTCCATTTCAAATATGTTGCATTGCTCGTAGCAATGAAATGGTGGAAAGGTCTGGAGAACACGGTGTGTTTTGGACCTACAGTTAAGCCCAGAGTTAACCAAAACAGTGCCACAGAATAGGTTACATATAATTCACGTACAGAATTCCAGAGACTATCTGTATCTTCTTTGCAGAAGTTTTAACTTAGCTCTTCTTTCCATGTTTTGATTGGGTTAATCATGTGCTGGTTGTTGAGTTGTGTGTGTTATTTACGTAACATGGGTGCATGATATGCAAATATTTTCTTCCATTCAATATGATATGTTTACATTTAATGACAGTTTCCTTCACTGTGCAGGAGCTTATTAGTTTGATGTGTCCCCACTGGTCTGTCTTTGCTTCTATTTCCTCGGAAAACAGGAGATATTGAGGGCAGTGAATCTACTCTCTAGGACACAATATGGTGTCCATGTCATTGTACATTTGTCTAAAACCCACAGCATGGACACTGCCGAGAGTTACCCCAATGTACAGCCAAGCGCTGTGAGAGATGATGAAGAGCAGGTTCATCATGTGGCAGACGTACTGCTCTGGGCTTAGCATGTTTTGGACATAACCTGTGAAGGGTTTTACAAGTTGTTACATTCAAGAATTTACATAAACACACACATCCACACACCATAGCCCTCCAGTGAGCCAGGTGACCTATCTCCAAAACGAGTTAGAAATTTATCATTTCCCTTCCCTGAAAAAAATATATATGTGCTTGTATCTAGTCATTAGTGTATATTGTCATATAAGCACAAGAGTTTTAGGACACAGAGTGGGAGAAAGCATTTGTAAATGAAATCACATATCTGATAAAGGACTTGTATTTATTATTTATAAATGAACACCTACAGCTCAACAATAAGAAAATAACCCAATTTAAAAATAGACAAAAGACTTCACCAATGAAGAGATACAGGTACCAAATAAGTGATGTTCAATAATTCCTGTTATTAGGGAAAGACATTAAAAACAAGGTGATAACCATTACAAACATACCAGAAGTCAAAAAAAAAAAAAAAAGGGTAATACCCAGTGCTGACTGAGCAACAGGACCCTCACTGCTGGCAGGATAAGAGATGGCACAGTCACCAGGAAAGATTTTTGAAAGTTCCTTTTAAAGCCAAACACTGACCGGCCATACAGTCCAGTGAGCACTGTCCCAGGTATTTACCCAACTCATTTGAAAACTTATATTCAGAATAAAAAAAAACCCTGCGTGTAAGTAAATGTTTATAGCAGAACCCCACTAAGTGTGAGCTGTCCATGGTGACCTCCTCCAGCAGCTCTCCTCACAGATGTCAGTGTCATCAAAGCAGGAAAGTCTGAGAAACTGTGAGCCAAGGGAGGCTTAAGGAGACCAGGTGGGGACTTTATGTGGATGTCCTGGTGTCGGAGCATAAAAAGGACAATAGGGAAAATTAATGAAACCCAAATACAGTGTGGAGTTTATTGAAACTACATTAACATCGTTCCTTAGCTTCACAAATAACTTAGTAGATATGTGAGATGTTAACAGTTTGGAAATGATGTGGGGTACATAGCAACTCTACTATCTTTGCAACTTTTCTGTAAATCTGTCAGAATCTTTTAAATACTGTTAACAGAGTTACAGGCTGTAGAAGGAAAAAATGATCTACTCTCCAGTTTTCCCAGGTTTTGCTAAAAAGGGACAGGAGGGTCTCGGGAAAAAGCTGGAAACCTCACACCCAGGGCAGGCTCCGGAGTCTCCTCTCCTCTGAGCCCTGCTTCTCTGACTCCTCACAGAGCATCTCAGGCCCAGGACGCCGCCCTCCAGGACCCCCAACTCTGCCCACCTCAGTCCCCGCCCCGTCCTGGCGGCTCCACCAGAATCCGAAACAGCGCGGCAGCGCCCCCGTGTGGCCACAGGGCTGAGCACAGGAGACCAGAGCTGCCCTTTCTCCTGCTCAGCCAGGCCCTCCCCAGGCCCTCCGGACTCCCAGCGGCAGGACAGGTGCACTGTCAGGATAGCGGTCCTCAAGCTTCCTCCCTAGCGAGTGACTGTGGACACAGGCCTCAGGAAGAGCCAGGTCCTCGGGTAATAACAGTTGTTCCCAGATTGCTGAGTGAGTTCCCCAAGTATGTTTCCCTCAGTTTGGATGAAACTTTGCTCTCCAGAGTCCTTATTGTTTGTTCCTGCTTCCAGGGATAAAAAAGTCTTTTCCTGGGAATCAGCCCTAAATTCTCCAACTCTGAGGTGAAGAAAGGAGTCCAATAATAGAATCTCAGGCTCTGTTCTAGACTTTCTAGAATCCAGGTGACTCGCTTGCTCACGGAAGTGGAGCCTCCCTGGTCTCCTTGTCTTCTCTACATGGTGTCAGACAGTGCAGTAGGCTCTATGGGGTGTCTGCTCAGATTCCTCATCACAGGGGGGTCTGGGGTTCAGTCCCACTTCTTTCTTTTCCTTAGTCATCACTACCTGGGGACACTTCTGAGCTCAAGACTTCAATAATCATTCACCCCATCACCTCCCAACGTTGTAAAGTCCATGTTTATTATTTAACTCAGATATTTCATCTTTACTCCAGACTTGTCTGTCCAATTGCCAATATCACTTTCATTGTAAACATATCTCAGCTTCAACTTTCCTAAATTGAAGAAAAATAGATTTTTCCCATATATAGTTCCCCATGTAGGCGGGCTCCACCACTGCCTGCAGTCTGACACACTGAGTGTCATCCTTGACTCCTTTCTCAACCCAGCAGTAGGAAATGCTGCAAAGTTCATGTCTAAATACACACAGATCCCATCACTTTCTATTATTTTCCTGCTCACCTCCCCCTCCACAAACGAAGCAACTAACCTCTCGGTCCTGGAACCTGCACTGTTTTCCTACATTTATCTTCCCAGCCCTCACCCTTCAATGCTGCACAACAGCCAGATGGAGGCTCCTAAAGAGAAGTCACACAGACAAATATCTGTTCAGGGGGTCTTGTCACCCCATACCTTACTCAGAAAGCCAAACCCAACATCCTCGAGGCCTGAATGATCTGGAGTCACACAGATCTCATCTCAATCACCCATTGATCCAGCAGCTGTTACCTGAGCCACACAGATTCCTGCCTCAGGCATCTGCACTGGAGGTTGTCTGCCTGGACAGAATTTCCCCTGCTTCCTTGTTGGTAATGTGTCCATCAAACTTTTTGTTTTTTTTGTTTTTTTTTTTTTTTGGTGGGACCCTCGCAGGCGGCCAAGGAATGAACCGGTGCGTCAGAGGCAGCTGCAGCCCAGCGCTCAACCACTGCGCCACCAGGGGAGGCCCCATCAAACTTTTTCTTAAAGGTCACCTAAGTGAGGCCCACACTGACCACGCTAGGAAGCATCCATCCTCCCTGTCTGCACACACTCAGGGTAGAATTACTTAAGGGTAGGGTTAGCAGGAGAAGCTGTAGAGGAAACAGAAACCAACCAGGACATTATTTAATTTTTTGTAATTTTGTTTATTTAAGAACTGGGGTACAGGCCAGAGGTGTGGGGGTAAGAGGATTCACCAGAGACAGAGTAAGGAACAGAACAGGCAGACTGATTGAAATACACTGCTGAGGGGAGCAGCTGGCAAGTCCAGGAGAGGTCTGCTGTGCCTGGGTCAGCTCCTAGGCCAGGGATCATACTGGTGCTGCAGAGACTTCAGATTGCTTCATGGGCTGAAGTCTTAACCATTTGCACCACCAGGGAGGAACATATTTTTAAAATTATTTTAAAAGATGTATTTATTTATGCATTCAAGAACTGGGGTAAAAGTCAGAGGTGTTGGGGGTGAGAGGATTCACCAGAGACAGAGTTGGGAACAGAAGAGGTATACTGGCTGAAATACACTGCTGAGGGGAGCAGCGGGCAAGACAGGAGAGGTCTGAGTGCCATGTGGGTTACCTCCCTGGCTGGGGACTGTACTTGCGCTGTGTCTAAACCCCTTGTGCTACCAGGGAGGCCTCCAAGACATTATTTAAAATGAAACATTACCTAATCCACCTGATACCAGAATTTAGTTCTTTATAAAAGATATGGAGAAAATGGAATTAATCATCCAGAACAGAGTCCTAAAATGAGACTAACAACTGGATGAGTCTGGAAATCAAGCTCTAGCACCAGACAGTCCTGTGTGCAGGGATTTCCCTGGGCCTTGTAGGGACAATGACAGATGCTCCTGTTGCCATCAGAGACAGGGACACCCAGAGGACATGAGGCCTGGTCTCTACATATGAAATTGAACAGGCATAAAAATAAAAACCAAAATAATATATAGATAGAGTACAAAGGCTGAGGACCGAACACGCAGTCTCCACCCACATCCTGGAGACAAGACAGGCCCAGGTAGGGTCTGAGTCCCTGTGATCACAGGCCCTGCTGGGACAGGTGCTACTGAGGGACAAGGACAAAGGAGCAGAGAGATGACCCTGGGGAGTGGCCATGTCAAAGCCCAGAATGCACTGAGCACCGACTGGACACAGGCCTGTCCCCCTTGGCTCCTCACAGCCTCTCCTGCCCACACCTGCACAGACTCAGCACAGCAACCCTGCAGTTCTGGCTGGTCCTCAGGTCTCCTCTATTTGTTTAATCTCAAATATTAGGAATTCTGCTAATTAACCGATCAATCCCATATGGGAAGAAAAGAAAAAATAACAATAACTTTCAATAGGGAAGTGTGTATTTTTCTTTGGTAAATACAAATTACAGGCAGGGGTGGAGCCAGCCCCGCCTCTGCTGGAGCAGGAAAGTCATCAGGGAGAGACACAGGTCAGTGTGGGGAGGGGCCTGGTGGGCAGGGCTGGGCCAGTCTCCCCACCTCCTCACGTTATGCTATAGGAACACAGACACATGAGGATGCCCTTTGCAGCAAGGGTGTGGGGGTGAGAAGAAACCTTGCACCACTGTTTCCACAAGGCAGTTGTCTCACACTGTGAAGGAAAATAATCAGGAAAAAAGTCAAGGAATCACATAAGTGTCAACATTCTTTATAGTCCACCAAATCCTCAGAATGTCCCCCTCACAGTTTCCCCATAACCTGGTCCCACCCTCTCTGCCCAGCCCCTCCCACCGCAGGGGTCTCACCTTTAGCAGCTGTGAGAGACACATCAGAGCCCTGGCTACTGTCACTGCCTGGGGGAGAATAAAACAGAATCTGGTCAGAGCCATGAGAGATGAGACCACAGCAGGGACTGATGGGGGTGACTACCCCATGGGCTCCTTCTACACTGTCCCCAGGGGCTCAGGGACCAAACCCCTGATCCACACTTACCTGCAGCCTGAGTGTAGCTTCCTCCTTTTTCACCTATGAGAAGAGGCATCATGTCAAACCAGGGAGGAGTCAGCCTATAAAGTCCTATAGGAATCCCCTAGTTCTGGACCACAGGGAACTTCCAGAACTGTCACTGGACACTTAGGGCAGGACTGGGAAATATGAAGAAAGATGAGAGGGCATTGGACCAACTGCCTCTTGGGGCTGCCCTCAGCAGGGACCTTCCCCTCTGCTATTAGCTGGAATCAGGGCCCCATTACCAGAATTATCAACGCAAACAACCTGTGATTCATTTTCATAAGTGTTTTACAAAAGAGAATTAGCAATCAGCTCCAGACTGGGCAACACAGGTGTGTGGGTGGTATTTCCCATTACCAGATAGAGTAAGTTCTCCCTGGGATTTGAAAGCCCCCAGTGGACAAGATCCCCCACTCCCTTCCCCACCTGAGCGCTTCCTCCTCCACATCACAGCTGCAGCCACCGCAGCTCCAGTGAGCACAGCTCCAAGGAGAACCAGGCCAGCAATGATGCCCACGGTGGGGATGGAGGACTGAGGAGGGGGCACTGGAAGGGAAGAGAAGATGATACTGTAAGTCCCCAGGCCTCCATCTTGAGCCAAATGAGGTTTTCCAGAAGGGTTCCTGATTCCTCTGTGCCCACATTCCCTCCTTACCCCAAATCAGGACTTGGGGCTCCTGAAGCCCCTCATGCTGCACATGGCATGTGTATCTCTGCTCCTCTCCAGAAGGCACCTCCACAGCCGCCCACTTCTGGAAGGTTCCATCTCCCCCAGGCCTGGTGTCCACTAGCTCCATCTCCTGGGTCAGGTCCTTCCCATCTCGCTGCCAGGTCAGGGTGATGTCCGCAGGGTAGAAGCCCAGGGCCCAGCACCTCAGGGTGACCTTCTGGTCAGAAGTGGGGTGGTGGGTCACATGTGTCTTTGGGGCATCTGAGGAGAAGGTTGATAACATTCACACTTTGGATTTTTCCCTCATGGAGACTGAAGCACCCTCATGTGACCATCCTCAGAATGGACAGGGAAATGGGTTTGGAAGAGGAAGCACAAAACCTATAAACCGGCCTGATCTGGGCAGTCTGAGTTAATCTGTTTCTTAGAATGTTCTAGAATCAGGGTAACAGCTCAGGATAGGAAGATGCAGGTCTCTAAGAGAGACAACACAGACATATACTCCTGACCTGAGGACTCAAGAAAACTGAAGTCAGATATGAAAAATGTTAATCAGACCAAAAACAAGTCATAGTGAGAAACTTATGGTTCCCAAGATGGCTGTAGGGTCAACAGGATCAGATGAAAGGTGATTTCAGGGATGGTCCATCCCCTCCAGCTCAGGAGAGACTGGATTCCTTAACTGTCCTTCAGAAAACCAGGGCCCTGTGGCAAGTCTCTCTCTAGTACAGAACAGGAAACCTAGGAGGTCTCCTCCCTCTCTGACCAGAAAGAGGTCTGTGTTCTGAACATAACTCCATTTTCCCCTGGGATGTCATCCTGAGGGAGAGCTGAAGCCAAGGAGGTCTTGCGAGGCCCCTCTCACCTGAGCGCTGCAGCCTCTCCTTCCCCTTCTCCAGGTATTTGCGCAGCCCTGCCAGGCAGGTGCCCTCCAGGTAGTTCCTCTCATGTTCGGCCACTCCCTCCTCCTCCCACTTGCGCTGGGACAGCTGAGCCGCCCTGTCCACCGCGGTCCAGGAGCGCAGGTCCTTGTTTAGGGCGATGTAATCGGTGCCATCGTAGGCGGACTGACTGTACCCGCGGAGGAAGCGCCCGTCGGGCCCCACTTCGCAGCCAAACATCTCCTGGAGGGTGTGAGACCCTGTCCCCGCCCAGTGTCAGCCTTGCCAGCGCCCCGCCGCCCTCCCGGGGGGAATAAACCTAGACTGAAACTGAAACCGCAGGGAGCAAAGTCCCGCGGGCCCGTCTCGGGTCCTGGTGGGTCCACCTGCCTCAGGGTGTCACTCCCACGAGGAGTCTGTGGTTCCGCCCGTCCGCGGGGCTGGGGGTCGTGAGCGCCCCGGGGCCTCCTCGCTCACCGTCCTCGCTCTGGTTGTAGTAGCCGCGTAGGATGTTCAGGTTCACTTGGCTCAGCTGTGCCGCGGCCTTCAGGGTCCCAGTCTGCTGCTCCCAGTACTCCTGCCCCTCCCGCGCCATCCAGGGCGCCCGCGGCTCCATCCTCGGGTTCGCCGCGTCGCTGTCGAACCGCACGAACTGCGTGTCGTCCACGTACCCCACCGAGATGAAGCGGGGCTCCCCGAGGCCGGGCCGGGACATCGCGGTGAAGAAATACCTCAGGGAGTGGGAGCCTGGGGGCGGGAGGGGAGACCCGGCTGGAGAGACGGGGCGGGAGGGGGGGGGGGCGAGGGGGCTCCTGAGAGTGTTAAGGGGCGGCGGGACCAGAAGGGCCGGGAATCAGGGGGCAAGAGGGGACGGGGGCTGGGAGGGACAGAAAGGGGCCAGGGCGGGGTTGAGGGGGACACCTGGGCGGGCGGCGATGGCGGAAACGAGCCTCTACCGGGTCCAGAGGTGCCGCTGTCGTCACCCGGGGCCCCCGGGCTCCTCAGCGGCGGGTTCCCTCCCGACCCGCACTCACCTGCCCAGGTCTCCCCCGGGGCCAGGGCCCCCAAGAGCAGCAGCAGGAGGGGCGCGGGCCCCATGGCCCTCACCTACTCGGCCAGAAACGCTGGGTGTCCGGGCTGGCGAGTGTAGACTGTGTAACCGGGGCCGCGGGGCTGCTGATTGGCTGCTCTGGAGACCTCCAGGCAATGGGGAGAGAGAACTGGGGTGACTCACCAGTACCCAGGAAGTAACACCCGACACTGGTTGTGGAGGGAGAATGAAACTGGGGAGGTGGAGAGTCCCCAACAGCAGTCTTATGCGCCCCAGACGGGGCCCCAGGACTTAGACCTGAGAGCCTCACCCTGGACCTGGGACTTTGCTCCGCCCCCTCCTCCTCTTCTGCACCAAGACCTTTGTCTGTCCCTGGTTCTGGGTCACTGATTCTCAAACATTTTCGTTTCAGGATCTCTGCACGCACAGCCTTACAAAGTCAAAGAACCCTGCAGGGTAAGTGGAAGCGATCAGGTTTTTTCGGCCCTCTTGCCATTAGCATCAATGATGAACACCTGTGGTCTTACCTGCGCCTGATGGCGGCATCTGGAGGTGCTGTGGGCGCGCCTGAGCCGAGAGAGGGAGCACATTAGGGCAGCGGCAGAGCATGGGGCAGGGCCAGGGGAGGGAGGGGGTGGCAGTGGAGACCAGCAAAAAGACCAGGAGAGAATGCCAGAGAGCACAGAAAGAGTAAACATTTGCCAGAGACCTGCCAACCTCCTGCCCCTGGCTTTGCCCCCCTGCCTGGCCTGCATCTGGCTGCCTCACTACCAGTGGTGCAGAAAGATCATTAAAAGCCTAAGAAAGCTGCCCAGGGCTCCAGGACTCTCCTTTGCGAGTCTGCAGGGATTCATAGAGAACCTGCTCTGTACCTTGTTGGCACTACAGGCCTCCAAGTATAATGCTATGCGGATGTAACTATCAATCTTTACCATATAAGGAATAAAATCATTTTAAACATGTTTTATTTCATTTAGAATATTAATAATCCGTTGCATATTAACAAAGTGTTTTAAAGAAAAACATCTCTGAGAATAACGGTCGTCAGAAAGTGGACCTTTTACTTTAATTTTTTGCAAGTGTCTTCTCTGTCTCATTAGACATTGAATTGTCATATTTTCTTCTGCATTTAGTCTTGTTTTGGTTGGTCAATGTAGGGTAAATGGAAATTGTCAGGTTTTTCTGCCCTACTGCCATTAGCATCATTAATCGACACCTGTGGGCTTACATGCATACCTGAGGGTGGCACCTGGAGCGTGCTGTGGGCATGCGTGAGTGGGTGCACCTGGGCTGAGAACTGGGCATATAAGGGTGGCCTCACTGGGACACCAGCAGCAGCAGAGAGAGCAGAGGAGGAGGGGCAGGATACCTTGAGGTAGAGTGCTGTAGAGATCACTAGAGAATGTCAGAGAGCACAGAAAGAGTGAAGATTTGCCTGGGACTGGGAGGCCTGCCAGCTCCTGCCCACCCCACCCCCCTTACCTGGTTGCCGCACTAGAAATGATCAAATGCTGTAAAAAGCTCAATAAAAGCCTGAAAAGCCACTGAGGGCTCCAGGACTCTCCTTTATCCATTGGTCTGCCCTAATCACAGAAAACCTGCTCTGTGCCTTGCAGGCACTACAGTCAATGAAAAAATATACAGCCTTAAAGAAATATGTGGGAATAGCATTTTATAATCCTTTAGGATGATTGTGAGTATTCAACATTTTACAACTTTAGTAATAAATTGAAACTGTACAAGTGGTAGTTTTTCATGTTATTTGCAAAGAGAAGCCTGAAACACTACTCTAACAGGGTGGTTCCCAGGAAAGGTGGGGGTTCTGGGTTTCCTGCCCCACCCAAGGGAGGGTGGAGCTAAGCAGGGAGAAAATGAGCTGCAGAAGAGGCTGAGGAAGGAAGGAAGCAGGATGGAGCCAGAAGGAGACCTGGAGGAGTCCTTCTGTTGTGACACAGATGTGGGTGAGAGACCCGTGGGGAGGTGACAATGGCAGTTTTTGTCCGGAGTTTGATTTTGCTCTTTTCCTCCCAGACTTGTCTGGTTGTTTCTGATCCTTTTCTGTGGGTCCCCACTGGAAGATGCTTTAGACTTGTGGCAGGCTTTGGGGCCTTGCTCTGGGCCAATCCTGCTTGGGTGGACTTTTACCCACAAGGGCACAGGTAACTTTGGGTGCTTGATTTAGAAAATATATTCTTTGCCTTTCCTGTATTGTTTACTAATTGTATTAAAGTTCCTTTTCATTAAAGTCGCCTATGTTTTGTGGCAGATGGCAGAACCTATTTAGAACAGGCAGGTTTGTGCGGTCTGGGCTGCCCCTCTCCCTGTCCTGTAACACTACCACTGAATGTTTTATATTTTGTTACATTAATTCCATAGACTTCACTTTACTTATTAATGGATCTTGAACTAATATGATTTTTTAAAGTAATGCATTTGAAAGGGGCAGGAAGGAATGGAGCAGGTTCTTTATGACCCGAGCAGATGGGGTAAAGGAGAATGAGTCCTGGAGCCCTCAGTGGCTTTTCAGGCTTTTATTGGGATTTACCAGGTACACAGCAGGCAGGGGTGCTGGGGGGCCAGGAAGCTGGCAGGCATCCCAGCCCCCAGCAAGTTTTCACTCTGTCTGGGCTCTCCAGTGTTTTCTCACAGTTCTTCTTCTCATGGTTTTTCTCTCTGCTCTCCTTGTTCCCCACGATGCTGCCCTTAAAAGCCCAGTCTTAGCCCAGGTGAATCCCATCTACATATGCCCACACCCTACTCCAGGTGCCTGCCATCAGGCATGCATTTAGGACTGCAAGGATCCATCATCAATACTAATGGTGGGAGGGCAGAAAAGCCTGATGCTTTTTATTTACCCTACAGGCAGGCAGAGGTGCTGGGGGACCGGGAGGCTGGCAGGCCTCCCAGCCCCTAGCAAGTCTTCACTCTTTTTGGGCTCTCTGGTGTTCTCTGGCGGTCTCTGCTTCTCTGCTCTCGTGGTCTTGCTTCTTTTCTTCTCATGTTTCTCTGCTGGTGTCCCCGTGACGCTGCCCTTATAATCCCAGTCTCTCAGCCCAGGTCTACCCACTTGCTCATGCCCACACCCTACTCCAGGTGCCCGCCATCAGGCATGCATTCAGGAGGAATGCATTCAGGATGGATCCGCAGGGATCCATCATCTATCCTGATGGCGGGAGGGCAGAAAAGCCTGATATTTTTTTCACTTACCCTACAGCATTGTTTCACTAGGTTATATGATCATTGTGTTTATTATTCTAGAATCAAATATTAAAAATTATATTGTTTTATATTCCAAACATCCCAAATGAAAAATTAGTTGATACAGGAAGTTGTCAAGCTTATAGTGGATGGGACACAATTTTCTAATACCTTGTTTTCCCTTAGAGTGTACATTTTATCAAGGCAATTAATTACTATCAGTTGTCAACTGTCAGTAGATTTTCTTAAAGAGACAGACTCACATTTAATTTCTAGAAAGTGCCCACAAGTTAACTAAATCTTTGTCATTCATTCCTTCAAATAAAGATGGTATTGCCTAAAAAATGAGTCTATTTAACCCCTTACAAATTGTTTTTCTTGGAAGATAGTATTTTATTTTGGATTGTAGCAGAAGAGATTTATATATACTGAGCTTACTTTGTCTCCAAATTCATTCTCTCAGGCTTGAGGAGATGCTCCCTGCTTTCCTGAGCCTCCTTGTCCAGGACCCCACAGCTCTTCATCCTGGACAGGGTGGTCTCTGTCCACATCCCTGCTCCCTCCCCACCTACTCCCTCTTGTGCTGCCCATCACCTCTAGTCTCAGGTGCAGAACCTGCCTGTGGAAGGCTGACAATGCTGGGTCACCACCAATCTTGAGTCCTCATTCCAGTCAACACTTTGCTTTTTCACATTGTTAACAATAGCTGACAATGTTGTTTACTCCCTTCTGGTCTGAAAATGCTTTCTTCCTCTGTCTCCTGAGAGATATTGTTGGAGTTTATAGGGTAAAAATCTGTCTTTTTGGCACCTGGTAGGCAGGGATAAGAACTTTTATACAGACTGGAGAAATGAAGTTACTATGGAAACCAGACTGTTAAAAACCTTGGCAGGCATGGAATCACCTGATTGCTATATAGACAGGACCATAAAGCCCAGGTGGCCACTAAACACAATCTAAAGCAAAGAAGATCTAATTAGGGCCTGACACTAGCAGACAGCAGCTAGCTCAGGTCTGTGTCTTAAATCTTAGAGAGAGAGCCTACAAACTCAGAGCACAAAAAAGAGCCGAACTTTTTTTTCAGTGACCTGAGGAAAAATTTCTCCTCTCATTCCTGTTTCCCCTCAGTAATTCAATAAATCCACCTTTTCTACTTTCCATTCTTTAGGGTAAATATTGGGCTTTTCTGCCTTCCCGCCATTAGGATTAATGATGAATCCTGTAGTCCTGAATGAATGCCTGATGCATGCCCACACCTTACTCCAGGTGTTCGCCATCAGGCATGCATAGGTGGGTACACCTGGGCTGAGAGACTGGGCTTATAAGGGTGGCGGCATGGGGATGCCAGAGGAACAGCAGAGCAGAAGAGGAGAACAAGCAAGAGAACAAGGCCATGAGAGAATGCTGGAGGCCCAGAAAGAATGAAGATTTCCTGGGGACTGGGAGGCCTGCCAGCCTCCGGGCCCCCTGGCACCCCTGCCTGCCATGTACCCAATAAAAGCCTGCAAAAACCATTGAGGCTCTAGGACTCCTCCTTCACTCATCTGCTCTGTGCCTTCCTGCTGCTACAATTGGTGTAGTTAGTAGGATGATACAATGCAGATGGGTTTGGAGCCCTACAAAGACCGTGAGACTCACAATACTGGAGGTGCTATGGCAGCCCTGGTGATGACCAAAGTCCAGGAGAACCCGGAAGAGCTACAAACTTCTGTGCTACAGGAGCACAGGAGGTGGACAAGGTCCGGGAGCTGCAGAACAAGACCTCGCTTAGAGGAGGAGATGGCCTGAGAGGATCCGCCCATGACCCCTGAGGCAGAAGAATCATAGGAGCTCACCCAATGCTGACACAGGAAGAAGCCTATGGACTTGGACTAATGGACTTGGACTGAC